TTCATGAACTATTCATGTATTTTGTGACTGGTATTGTTCATTGTTTACCGATGAGTCACCGGTTACGCGCGTAACGAAAAAATCGTCACACATTCGCCAGGTTACCCCCCAAGTCAAGCGTGCCTAAAGAAGTTTCACTTAAAAAATAAATATGCTTACGTTTTGAATTTTTCCTTATATGACAATTTGTTGACCTCCGAAGTTGAACTTTGCCTTGTAATTAAATTACTTTTGCAACCGCAATGCAAGTAGTTAATAAAAGACTGTTAAAAAATAATCTTTTAAGTACCTTTACCGGTTACACCAATTTATAAAAGGAAATATTTAAATGATCCCAAAATTAAAATAAGTGATAACCTAAAAATACCTTACACCGAAAAGGTAGGTTAGTTTTAAATAACTTTTTTTTTTATAATCTTTTAGATACTTATGTGCCATTTATAAATTACAGTAGTCGCGTATGATTTGTAACATTTGAAAGCTGACCTTGTATTAGTAAAAAAACAAATAAAACCTACAACAAAAGGAATAAGGCATTAGAACATTATGTTCTAAAATCATATCAAATAGCGCGCGCTTTCGCGACTTCCTGTTACACACTTCCGTCCCATTTCACGAAATCACTCCTACAAATTGCAGGAAAGAGTGGGGAAAGATGTTACACATCAAAAACATATGTTGCTTTATGTCTTCTTCTATTCGTACCTTGAAAACAAATATTAATTATTATAATTTTTAACTTACTTTTAAAAATTATCGAATTACAAATAAAAGTAGATAATACAAAAGAATTATAATGAATTAATGATCTATTACATCAGATAAAATCAAGTTTTTTCAACAACAAAAAGCTATATTCGTGATAAAGTTTTGCGGTAACATTTTGTACCTACGGTGATCTGCCCGCAACCTTTATTATCTTGTTACATGATCTTTGTCACGCATTGATCGCCCGCCGGCACTAATTATAGTAGATAAAATCAAAACAGAACTCGGTAAACGATGTTTGTCGAATCTCAAAATAAACTTTGTTTTTGTGACATGTTTGTCATATGTGGTTAAATTGATTTTAACAGAAAATTGGTGTAAGCTCGTTGAAGTCTTTTGTATGAAAGCTTCATTGTTTATAAGTACAGAATTTGTTAATTATTGATTTACTTACATTACCAATATGATTTTTCAATTATTTAGTAAAATTATTCCATGAAGGTATAGGAATAAGCATTTCTCAATCAATTCTGAGATTTGGTGTCAAGCAAGATAAAGCTTAAAGTTAAAGAAAGTTTTAATAGATTTTTTTCTCTTTCTTTAGATTTAAACATATATTCTTAACAATAAATAATAATAAGATGAATGAAGCCTTTGTTACTATACCAACATGAAAATTTTCTGAGAGGAGTTATAATAAAGTTTAAAAAAATCAAAAGCAGTATGTTATTTTACACTTAACCAATATCATTTTAACACTAAAGCCAACGGTTCAAAAAGGGAAAAGCTTATCTTTATTACTAACTTCGAAATGAAATTACAATAGCTTAGCTGTGGGAGCTAAAGAATGTCACGATATTTGTTACCGCAAAAAAGAAACAAAGGGATATAACATCTAATTCTAATCTACACTTCAATCGAATTTGATCGAAGACTTATCAATTTGATGAACGAGCTTCTGAACGCGGTGGTGCCTTTATAGTCCGTCTGTCTGTCAATCCGTCTGTGTCATGCTCGGGAACTTTGGAAACACCTATTCGGTATGCCGAGAATTTGATGAGCTGAGACAAAAAGTGAGAGATTTTTTTTAATGAAGTATACACAACTAGATATACGTAGGGTCACGCGTAAACATATTTGTTGCTAACACATTATTGTTAAAATACTAATTATATATTTAAAATCGACTAAAATGCTACTTTCTACAATTTATTATTAAGCTCGATAATATGCAAGAAGCTTTCATTAGCACCATAAAGCATACCGCTTACTCATAAAAGAAACTTGTAAAAGCCATCACACGCATTATCGTAATTTTTTCCCTTCATCGAAGCTTTTTAATTGAAAACTAGCTTCTTAATGATTACTTATAATTGAAAAGAAAATCAATTTGTCATTAAAAAGGAAACTTGAGGCAGTTTGAACTGTTAATTCGTAGATCCTACTATCTAATTAGTTCTCGGTTAAAGATAAAAACCAATTAGTTAATAGTACGTGGTAGGTATAGGCGCCAAGGATCCATCACATTGTGACGGTCGGCCGCCGCAAAAACAGTCGTCTAGACGGCATATCGACACATGTTTGCAGAATACCGACGCACTCGACATTTTGTAGTTTTTTTTTTCGTGTTTAACTGTTGTCTCAAGCTTGCTTACTTTGATTGTTTGTTTGAATAGGTATGATGACTATTTTTTTTAAGCATTGGACACGTATTTTTTCTTTTTTCACATAATATAAACATTGCAGAGATAAATTGATTTGAAAAGTCGCATGACGTCACGTTTAGGTTCAATTTTCACTTAAAAGTGACGTCACGAGCCCCTTTTCCCAAACTTTGATGCGCTGTAACTTTGGAATTATTTGGTTGATTGCCCAAAGAAAAAATACGTGTCCATTATTTTTTGATCATCTAACTGACGGACTAAATAGAATTTCGTTTACTATACCCCGTCATCACTCCTATTATAAATAGTTAAAGAGACGTTGATTTTCGTAAGCGAAAGAACTTGGTTATTAGTGCACGTTTAAATGAACCAAATGTGTTTTTTTTTTTGGATTTACTTATTTAAAAAATCTATGATACTTTTACAGCAGCTTCACATACTTTTTACTAGAATTTGTTGTCGGTTCCACCACATTTAACTGAAAAATATATTTTTTTTAAGTACCTAATGAAATAACTTTTATGAAGGAAATAATTAAGTTAAGCATGGACATCACATACAAATTATGATTAAGTCCCTCCGCTAAATTATTAGGAAACATTCTGTACGGGAGTTCTTTATAAATATACCTGAATTTAAGAAATAAGATACAAAATATTATATTTTTCTTATCAATGCTTAAAACATTGAAACTAATATTTCTATAAATCTATAATTTTTAACTTTCTTTTTTTAATTACCAAATTATAAATAAAATGTTATTATATTTTTCTTATCAATGCTTAAAGCATTGAACTGCTAGATGTTTTAAATCTAAAGAAACTGCGCTGTCTTGCAGCCTAATATTTAGTATTTACTCCAGAAAATTGGACATGGCCATTTAGTCTCGGTAGCATTGGTTAGTACGCGCCCGTTCAGATATCTGGTTTGAAACCCGTCTAAAACCTAGATCGAGTGGAATATTTTCTAGTACATATTTTCTTTATTTTCATATAAATAATATTTTGTTTAGATAACCTAAAATTTTATTTTTAGCTTATACTACTGACAAAATATGTATTTCTCGTTTTTCTCAGCTCAGATAATAATATTTAGACAAATTTTCTTATCGACATCGACAGACTTGAACAAAAATCAATCCACATAAACTCAAGCGAACTTTTATTATATACTAGTTGGTAATTTTATCTGCTCGTATTATATATATATATATATATATATGTTAATCCAGTGTTTGATCCTTCTGTGTACAAAATTTTATACAATTCAATATTCTGACGTCAGCGTTGTCGACTACTAAAAATTCAAGCAAAAGTAAAACACTACATTTTAAGCACTATATGTGAATGCAGACTCTATTTTTCTATATTAAAAGTGTGACAAAACAAGCGTATTGCCTCGCCTCATGGTAAGCGGGCACCATAATCTTAGAAACCAAAAATTTTACTCGCGCCATTGCCTAACCTGAACCATTTCCCTACCCTGTAGAGCCTTGGAAGCTTACTGACCGACAGATATACAACACCATTATTTTATTACACAGTGTTACTTTACTTCGGCATTTTGTAAGAAGGAGGTTACTTCCCCTCCAATTCAAGCGGAAAGTCTGCTATGCCCTATCTCTCTTAAAGTACATTTAATTTTCTACTTATTCACGTCTATTTTTCAAGTTACACATAAGTTTAGTAAGTAAGCACTCCACTACACATAATGGACTCGGCGCCGATTCTTTTTCGGTGCTTGTACTTGCTTACTACTTACTGTGTCAAAAACTCGACAGAAAAACATAAAAAAGTGATGTTTTTGAGGTAAAACAGAACCTAAACCCTTTACGCTTCGAGTGGCACTTGAGCCACCGAGCAGGTAGCGTTATTCGCGCCTCAAGTATTCACAAGAGCTTACAAAGTCGACGGGGCGTGAATGTTTATCTACATTAAAATATATCGTAATATCTCAGTAAAAGAGTAGAATTCGGTCTGTACTTAAATGTTACGATTTACTTACGTAGGTCTGTGCTTTACTGGCGTTTGTCGCGACCATGTCGTCTACGCTTATTGAAAACGCACGGATTACGCTTTTTTTGAGTCTCGACGATGCGGTGCGTTTTGTTGCTAACTTTTTGGACTTTATACGGAGTGTTAGGATGAATTTGGGGAAGAAATAACTGTCAGGTTAAAAAATAGTTTAATTGAATTTTTTACTAAATATTCGGCTTTGGGCAAGCATTCTGCGTAAAATACTAAAATTTAAGTTCTGTATCTCATTCTGTTTACTATCTAGAAGCCTGTGACAGACAGACGACGACAGAGCGTTAGGGTTCCGTTTTTACCTTTTGGGTTCGGATTCCAAAAAGGTTAGGTCCTAAGTACATATATACCTCAAACCCTCCTGCGGCTACCATAAACCTGCCTTAGAAATGAACTTGCCTTTTTGCACAACGTTGCGAAGTAACTTTCAAAAACTGTTCTAATAAAATAATAGTGTTGAATTTGGACTACATCTCAGATACATCCAAATGGTGCAATGACGTTTGATATAGTGACACACATTTATTTATGCTAGTTTAGTAGCATTTCATGCTAGTTATATGTCGTTTAGTTGACTAATATAACCTATTTCATCCAACAGATGGTGCTAACGTCGATGCACAAGTACCGGCCGCGAGTGCTGGTGGTGCGCGCTCGAGACGCGGCCGCGCTCGCTTGGGGCGCCCCGCACGCTGCCTTCTCCTTCGAAGAAACGGAGTTCATCGCCGTCACCGCCTACCAGGTCAGTTGAAACTCCTTACACTACCTTTTTATCTTTTTTGACGTGACAACGTCTTAAATTAGGTTGCGGCTGGGAGTCACTTATGAAAAAGTGTAACGCTCGGTAACGTTACGATGAGTCTCTCGTGTTAAGTTTAAGTTTACATGTACAATGTTTTAGTAAACAAAATATATTTCTATAGTTAAAATTTGTGCAATTCTTATTTTCATTCAATTCCTTGTTCCTATTGTGCAATTTAATTATATTCATATCAATAAATATTCTACCGAGAAAAAGACGTTGTCACGTAAAATCTTCGCCCGTAAAACCGACTTTACAGGCAACCATTTTTTTTTTTATGTCTGGAAAGGCATGACGTCGTTCTTACCACCAAATTTTTTGGAGCGTGTATGCTGTTGGACGCTGATGACTTTAAAGACTTCCATGCAGCAACGCGTGATAGTTAGCGTGCGGCTAACGTGCGGCTGATACAATTAGACAGTGTATGAAAATGTATGGCGCCGTGGGGCCGACGTCTGTCGTAGGCCGCACGCGTCCGTCGCTGACTGAGCTGCGATGCACGGGAGTTTACCTCAAAGTGTCTCACAGACAGAGGCGGCCAGCGGCTGCGGCGGGGGTGGCGGCCAGTTGTATTCACTTGCAATTCATGCGAGTGTTCAAATTCGATTGGCCAATAAGGGCTGGCCTAAGCCGCAGGCCACCTCTGTCTGTGACACCCTTTACAGCGTCACCTGGTTTGAGGACAGCGAGATCCTTAGGGGACCTCAAACCGCGAAATGGCTGTGGCATCACCCTCGGGTCGAGTATCCTTCCTAGATCCACTAGGTCACCCGAGCCTGAGGAGGTCGGCTCCACTAGAGGGCGTCTCGTGAGACTTGGGTCTCGGCTCTAGTTAGCCGTCTTCGTGGACACTCGCCATCGGGCGGGAGTCCATGATGAGAATATTAATATACGGCACACGCCTTCCCCAGGGATAGAATAGGAGATTAAGTCACCCACCACGTTGTCCCTGTGCGGATTGACGGATGCTAACGACTGCAGATGCTGCTTGGTTTAATGTGCCTTCCGAAGAATGGAGAAGCTCGAGATAAAAAAATCTGATGAATCGCATTTGCGCAAATTGATTAAGTTTGAAAAATAAAAAAGCGCTATATTCTGAAGTGCCATTGCTTGTCTTAAAAACGATTGTATCTACAAGACTGAGGGAGAGAGAAAGGCATACTTATCACTTAAGTCAACTAATTATGCTCCCCCGCACGCACCTTAGTTTGAGTAGTAGGTTTAAGAGCCTATGAAAGTTTCAAATCCTCTTCTGAACATCTATCACAAAGCTATAGAAACTTGTTCGCGTTTTAATATGTCTTTGATTGTCATCTGTTTAGTTGACCGTGTATAATAAATAAATGTACTGGCAATCAATGTAGTTTCCGGGACATATCAATTTCAACGAAGACCAAATAAGCGTTGCAGATTGGTACTGTATTTTATCAACTGTTACTAATAATAATAAGGTTTCTTTTACACAATACATCTTAAATATCGTACTATAAGCAAAGGGTAGGTGTATCAATGTATTTATGAATTAAATAATACTTATAAATAGCTGCGTTAAATGAATCGGAACTCATTAGAGGCGGTTGAGTAGACCAATACAAGTAGATTGGGTTACAAGCCTCCGATACCAATCTCAGGGAACTCCTTAATAAACACCCTATCACACACACCGCGCGTTCGTAGAAACCGTAGCGAGATTCCGGGAACGTTCTCCGATTCGCACTCGATACCCGATATTTTTTTCTGACGACCGAACTGCACGAGGCGCCATAGCTTTTACGCGCGTACGAAAAAAATCGAAAGATACCGCCAGCCTTCGCCCGTCTCGAGTGGTCATTGTATAAGCTCTTTTAACGAAACAAAAGCGTTTAATTTAGAGCTTTCGGCTCCTTTGGGTGCGACGCTACGCATTGTTAGAATGTCGGTATCGTTCGAGAGTGCGAAAACCCATGAAAAAGCACAACGGTAATTTCTTACAGTCTGCGCAGTGAATAAGGTTGTTGTGTAGTGAGTAACCGCTCCAGCCTCCGATGAGAGTTATGTATTGATTTATTAGCATTAGAGAGCAGATAGCAAACGCCGTCACTTTTATCTCGCAAGAAACGAAACAATAGGATTGTGGTTGTGAAATGAATAGCTCTTGGTATATAGCAGTAAAATGATAATCTTTATATGATGAATGATGGGAATAATTGCTTCCGAATACTAACTGTTCTTTCCTTTTTTATGTTCATCCATTTTTATTTTATTCGCGACAAAATATAGCCTTTGATCATCTCGAAGTCCATTTTATATACACGCCAAATTACATTAAAGTCGATTAAGCTGTTTAGGCGTAAAAAGTAAAAACTTGGTTAATAACAGGCAAAATTGCTTCCAAATTTACAATATTAAGACTCTTGCCTGTAAAGTGCGTTATTATCAGTCGATAATATCGCTTGCGTTATTGCGATATTTCTTCATACTTCGTTGCGTCGTTATTATCGCAGCAGTGTGTGACTTCGTAGCTGTTCTCATACGTAATGTACTAAACCCAAATATCGCAAAAACGCGTCCGATAATGAAGGTGCTATGTGGGAGGCCCTATGGATTTGAAGGGAAACAGTGTGGCAACATTTGGGTAGGGATTGAACAAAAGCATGTTTTAGGCGCTAAAACAACTATGACACTTTTGTATTCGACAAGGTTTTCGTGTTATATAATGAGTCAGTGAGTAAGTGAATCCTACAAATATTTTAAATGTGAAAGTTTGCATGTTTTGTAACTCGATCAAGCAAAAAAAACTATGTTACGAATTTCGTACATATATAGCTCTTGGCCTGGAGTGAGACATATGATACTTTTTATCTCGGAAAATATAAGGCTCCTGTGGGATTCCCAAAAACATTAAAGTTAACGCGGACAAAGTCGGGCGGCCGCTGGTTATAGGCAGGGGTCAAATAAATGAACACACAAATTAAAAAAATATTAAATTAAGTACTTAATTAATTAAATTAGCTAATAAATTCCTACATAGACAGCATAGTTCCAATAATATTTCAATATTCATTGAAATACTTCTATCCGAACGCTCAATAAAAATCTTTCGAAGGTAGAACACGCACGCCACTCATTAAATATTTATTGACGTTTCTCGCTCGACAAAGTAAATAAAATCATAATTCAGACGACGCATCCGTACCCCTAGCACGAACCATTATCAAATTCGAATAGTTTGCAAACCGAAATGTCAATGTCAAATTTTGTATGGAAACTTGAACAGCAGCAGCACAAAGTACGTAATGAGAACTAAAAATCAGTACACATTTGACAATGACATTTCGGACTCGCAAACGATACGAATTCGATATTGGTTCGTGCTAGGGGTACTGAAAAGGATAAGGAGAATAAATAAATAAATCAGTGCATCTATACCGTTGAAACTTATTTTATTTAATAATGTTATAGTCCCAAATTATGTAGAAATTGCATTGTGGAAACACAGCAAAATATAACTATCATAACTAGTTAAGAACATGAGAAATATTAAATGCTTTTTGTAATAATTACTAAAAGTTATACTTATCCATTACCGAGTTGAAAGAACATTAGTTTATCTATGTATACATTACTATAGATAATTCATAAAGTTTTAATAATTAAGTAAGTGAGTGAGTCTAGGCGATAAAGGAAGCTAAACAACTCACGCAATTGGTTATTATATTTTTATATATAGCATTTAACTGCCAGATGTTTAATCTAAGATAATACTAGAGGATTTTCGACACGGACATTATGGTCTCGGTAGTATTTGCATCGGCCCGGATAGCGGAAGATGCGGGTTCGAATCCCGTTTGAAGCCTGAATCGAGTGGAATGGTTTTTATAGTAAAAAACTTACGCAATTGCCGCTAATCGAGATGTAGTCCTGTGTCCCAGCTTTAGGGACATTTGTGATGATGATGATGATGTATACATTTAACTCCTTTATTATCTACTTTGACAAAGTCACATTTGTTGATGTGAGTCTTAGGTATTTTCTGGAAACAAAAATGTTCTCCTCGATTCCAAAACTTTTCTGTCCAATTGACAGAATTGTATTGAGTGCGTACCTCCCGGATGTTTTTATGTTTATATTTGTACACCTATTATTTATCCCAACAATGATTATGTCACATTTACAATGAATACGGTATCGTATTAACAAGATGTGCGTTCTACATAATAAGGGATTTAGCCGTAATGACATGTGGTGTTAACAATCGGTGCTGCAATGGGCTCCCGCTGTTTGTTTTCCGACTCTGAACGACTACCTTTGGTGATCAGCGCACCTCATGTAATCCATCCACTCGTAATTAGTCCGAGAGGCGGTCCCTTTGTCCCGTCGGCTGCAGCGAGGCGCGAACGCACCATCGTGTCCATTGCCCGCCGGCAGCTTTGAGGGATAATCCCGGAATTATCCGTGTAACGGGACGTCTCATCGTACAATGAGCTTCGTCGGCATATCGTTGCGCATTATCCATACGCAGGCGACCGCTCGCCGACCAACCATTGTCGCGAATTACCAACGAATTACAAACAGCCTTTCATGTACGCCGACGTCATTGTACTACGGCGTAACTAGGTGGCATACTTGTTGTATCGATGCCCAAAATAAAACTGTACTCACTCGTTGGCTATAAAAAAAAAATGGAATTGCCGGTCCATATTTCAATGTGTCATCGCTGTTTGCTAACTACCACCTGATAATAGGCTAGACGAGCAAACAAAATTTACTCCGACCCTAATTATACATTCCTAAAAAACTTGGCGTCAGTCGCCAATATGTGAAATAGTCACGCAAAAGGTAAAAGCTAAGACGGCGAGCTTGGTGCATGACGTCACGGGCGACAGGGCGGGCCAGGGGCGGCGCCTGCTCAGCACTCGGGACCGAACGAATGTTTCTCTCGTCCAAAAACAGGCTTTTAGCACTCTTCGCTATCTCGGCGGATTCTATGGTTATCTATTGCGGGCACTGAGCAAACGGCACCCGCCGGCGCCGGCTTATCACCGAGTAAACAGTCGTTTACGAGTCACTTCGCGTATCGCACGGGGCTTACTGTTTGCGGTCGAAATTTCGCCAGATAATAATGCAGCGGGAGGTGCATACCTCTGCTTTCTTAGGTGACGAATCGAATGTTACAAAAACTGTTTTTTGTTTTACGAGTAGGCGCCACTTTCGATTTTGTAATGGCTTCTTAAAACGTCGTTGTCACTTAGGTAAACTTTGGGACTTTGTTTCTTAGTTAGTGTCAGGTTTCAATTTGGGTTTTTAGGCGTTTTCGGTGGCGTCAGGGCTGTTTCTGTGTCGCCCCGGGCGGGCGGCGCGACACGGCGCGACATGTCGACGGCGACACGCTTGCGCGCGGTGCTAATTGGCCTGTCGCCAGCATAGCGACACATGTGCGACAATTATCCCTTACAAGCTATTAGCGACACGAGAGATGTATGCGGAAACGGATGTTCAAATTGCATTCTCGAAAACAAGATAACAGCTCCATTTCGGGTCGTTTACTGTATATGAAGACAAATCGTGACGCTCCGTTTGCTTTAAGATTATTTTTCCAAACACATTAAGATTTATTTCGACTTATGAAACGTAACGAACAGGCAATAATTGAAGTTACTGACTTCTGTTAAGTATATTTAGACAAATATCTATAAATTCAATTCATTTTTGTTGTTCACAGAACGATCGCATCACAAAACTGAAGATAGACAACAATCCGTTCGCCAAAGGCTTCCGCGCGTGCGGTCAATCGAAATGCAAAAGGAAGAACACTGACTCCAGCGGATCAGAGGGCACTGAACCGACCAGCTCCGAGTCCTCAGAAGCTAAGAGGCCATGCTCCGACGCCGCCTCCTCTTGCTCAGAAGAAGGCAGCCTTCGCTCAACATCGCCCCGATCTCCTCCGCTAGCCGAATCGCCAGCTCCTCTCATGGCTACCCCAGAAAATATTACTCCACCACCGCCCGCCTTTTACCCTGAGTTTCCGTACTTAGGACACTTGCCTATGACAATGCCACTGAGTCTTTGGACCGGCCCTCCCATGGCTGGAGCCTTTGCATGGGGCCCTTCTCTACCCCCACCACCTCCGCGAGCCCCTACTCCCCCCCAAGCAGCCCCGGCACCGTGTCGTCGCGTCAAAAGCTTCACAATCAGCGCACTCCTCGGCGAAGGCTGACGTTTCCGTTGCATCACCAAGGATTGAATTAAATACATTGTATACTATACGGGCATGATTCGCAATAGCTACTTAAAATGTGTAAATATTGTTGTTAATTTAATATAAAGAGTCGTCAGTACTACCTACCTCGTAGACTTATTGATAAATCTATTTTTATTGTGATAAATGTGCCTTACAATGTAATAATACTGAATAAATAGGTAATGATTTATTATAGCTCTCTCTACTCCACAGCCCTAGAACTATGACAATTGTTTTTTTTTACTATAACTAATTAATAGGTCAATACCTTTTTGTAAGATAAGTACCTACCTACTTATTCGTAGAAGTGTCTACATTATGCGAAAAGGACATGGTAAAGTTTTGTATGAGCGACTGCCTTGGCAATGTATAAATACTGTACTTGGTAACATTTAATGGTAAATAGCTGAATATTTATAATTTCTATGAAAAAAGGCACAGGTACTTTTGATAAAGTCACAATCTTGAAAATTATGATAACTCCTACTATGTCATTACCTTACTACAGTTGATAAAAGATGTTGCCAATTATTTACAGAATCATCAATTTCGCATTTTCTTATAATCTTTCTTTCCATTTCTCTGATCTCTAACTTTTCACAAAAAGTTTTTTTAAAGGAAAAATAAATACAAATAATTTGTTTCCTTGAGTCTGGCGCCTCAGACCGCTCGGCCATCCGATCAAATAATTTGTTATCGTCGGCCTGACAGGAAATCTGTGAAGTTTTATTTCATCCATTTGCAAAATTTCAAGAATTAATTATCATACAGCCTTGTCTCAAACCTGATCAGAATAATAAAATGTATTATTTAAGGCTTGCCGTGATTTGTTTTAATAAAAATTAGGACCAAATATGTCATAGTTTGAAGAAGTTTAGAAATAATATTGTTTATTTCGATATACTTTTCACAATTATTTTTTGTGTACATTTACTGTTCATTTATTTTGTAAAACAGAACATTTTACTTTTAAAACAAACAGACATGAAGTCAATTTTTATACTTTTAAATATTTGATTATTTCACGAAAGTTGTATGAGAATAATAAACACCTAATAATTAATAAAAAAAAAATTGTAAAGTTACGGGCTAGTGCGAAATATTTATACACGTTAAGGGCAGTTTCTTAGCCATGTCCAAGATTGTATAAGATTTATATATTGTTCTACTTAAGAATTTTATTCATTTAACATTATGTAAATAATGTAAAATACGTACGTAAATTTAAATTGTGAAAGAGTACCTAGGTCTAAAAGTTAAATCAAATAATTATATTTTATATAAAATATTACTCGGTTTTCATTTACTTATTCCTTTATAAACCCTCCATTCCATTAAATGGATTGATGATCAGAAAACTGTAAGACAAAATACACTCTTCAATAAGGTGCAGCGGGGCAATTTTGACTGGCAAGTTGAAAAGACCAACTTCGAAAACTAATATAATTATACCTATCATAGAAAGAAAATGTTTACACAAACTCAAGAATGACTATCTATGTTGTTGTTTTAAAAAATCCGATTTAAAATTTTTGATTATATACACTTTAAATCGTGTTTCATAGCAAAAATTGTTGCAATCCCCCCTCCGAGGGGCAATTCCAACCATCGATTATATTAGCCATTTTATCAGACCTATATTGTTAAAACTGCCTCCTGGGTTAAGTAACAGAGAATGTAATCGAAATTAAACCTTATTATTCATTTCCCCAAGTTAACTTTTGCAATAAAACCCTTTAAAGATTTTAGTGGGGCAATTTAAACTGCACTTCATACTACAGAGTGATGTGACTTTTGAAGTTTCGTGCATTAACCCGTAAAAAACTAGTTTTATTTAATGTGTGATGTGCGTGAAAACCTAAGAAACAAATGTGATGTGACTCGTCATAAAAAAATATATTATCGACTCGCACCTTTAATAACATTTTAATTTTCTTAATTATTTAAATAAATTTCAACAAATTCTCTCCCATCTCAATCCAAAGAGTCCCTTTACTCAGTGTCTGCTCTAGTTGCAGTATTCGCCATCGTTTCAGTCTACCTACGTCATCTTTCTCATTAACCAGGTTCCTGTCGAGTATATTATGTGCCCTTGAAGCCTTTATTTGTATTTAACACAATGTACAGTAATTGTGTGTTGTTGTTACTTTCTTTCGTTGGCATCTTCAGATATTTATCATTCTCAATATTTCGTGTATACCATGGTGCACCTGATAGACGTTGTTCTGGAACCTTTGTAGCATTTCGAGATTCGAGTTCCTGGCTGACCCCCCTAGCTGGATTCCATATGTGTTTTAAGATGCATTTGTAGAGACTAGTAGCTTGTTGCTTAGTGTTGTGGTGACTGACTGTCGCAATATAAGCGTTTGTAATTGAGATCTGCTCCTTTTTTTCTCTTTGCCTTGATATGGTTGTTCCATGTTAATCTCCGATCAAGGTGGAGTCCAAGGTAGGAAGTTGTTCACCTCTCATTGTCACCGCTGGACGTTCTCCTCCGCGGAGTGTAAATGTGATTTGTAAAGATTTGACTACGCTTGGTTTGCATAGGGAAGCACACATTAATAAGTTCATGATGATGATGCAATAATAGAAAACTGCAACATACATAAAAAACCGGCCAAGTGCGAGTCGGACTCGCGCACCGAGGGTTCCGTACAAACCTGAACTTTCAATAATATTTTTTATTATACGATGTAACTAAAAACTTACGGTTTTCGCAATTTTCCCTTCATCCGTACTATAAGACGTTACTTCGTACCAAATTTCAAGATTCTATGTTTACGGGAAGTAGCCTGTAGGTTTTGATTCCCGTGCGAGTTTCGAAAATTTGCGGAAATCGGCATAAACGGCTGTATCTTTTGATTGCTTTGGCTAAGAAGTTTGATTTTTTCACAGCTCCAAGGGACAGTAGACCTGAGTATTAGATATGAATTTTCGTTTTATACCTCCACGCGTTCCTGAGAAAAATGGTCTTGACAGACGGACGGACAACAAAGTGATCCTATAAGGGTTCCGTTTTTTCCTTTTGAGGTACGGAACCCTAAAAAACGAACATTTGAATGATATTATGTTCTTTTCTATAAGAATGACAACCATTGTCGATAGAGAAAGAAGAATGTCCCATTTACGAGATCGGCATCATGCACCTTGTATTTTGTGAGTTCCCGATATATCAAAAGTGTTGCAAATGCCATCAGGGACATAGCTGGGGAGGGCTGGGCGTATACCATTGCCCTACCTTAAAAAACATTTCTTACGATTGAATTGCTATGCCCTACCTGTAATTACCGCTGTCCTATTTCAAATACAACTCTGGCTACAGGCCCTGAGTGCCATCATCTTAAGTAAATTAAATTACGTCAATAATCCCGCTAAGCCTAAATAACCGGACCGTAAGTCAATAATTCCGAGTCGGACTATGTAGGTACGCAACATAAACGGTTCGCATTAACTTAGAAGTTTGATTTTTTCGCAAGTTCAAGGGATCGTTGACTAGAGTACCTATATATGGTTAATTTTAATTCGATGCCTTGACACGTTCCCGATGGTTTTACATTCAGACAGATAACAAAGTGGTCCTTATGGGTCCCGCTTTTTTTTCTTTTGAGGTACGGAACTCAAAAAAATAAACACCTTTGATTAGTCTTATAAAAAGTCGTTCCTGTGTAGCTCAGTAACACGTAGTACACGTAACGCCATCTTTTGGATCATTTTTAAATTATATGCTCCGCGGTTCCGCTTGCCGCTACACTGCTATCATCTGGGTGCTCCTCTTATCACACTACATATTTTGCATAATTTTCAGTAGATGGATTTTTTTATTCTTAATTATTATAGGCTAATGATAGTATTTTTTATTATTAAAGCTACTGATGATAAACATGCCATAGTATTTTTCATTAAACAAGGGAAATGTAAAAATAATATTAATATGTTATTGGTGTAGATTCTGGCATGATTCTCTGAACTGAAAAATTAATTTGACGTTAGTCTATCCTTTTTCCCAAATGTAAGTTAAGGTTTAGAGAACTATGCCAGAATTGACACCATTATTTATAATTAGTGACCTCAATGTATAAAATAAAATTGTAAGCATAAGATAATAAAACAACAAATGTTGATATATGTGACACTTTATTTATTACAACACAGTGAGAAACAGGTAGACAATACCACTCATTACACAGACTGAATTACAGTTTTCATAATAAGAAAAACCTAACCCGCTATCAAGTTTTGCAGCTCAGAACTAAGTTCATTGGCATCAATATTGACTTTTGTATTTGAAGTAGGCGCTGGTACACTAGACTCTCTATTGCATGCCTTCTTGTGGACAAACCAGTGTAGTCGCTGGCATTCCCTATCACAATACTGAACAGATTTACATTTAGAACATTTCTTTGCTGGCTTCTCCTCTCCACAAGTACTGCAATATGGAATCACATCAACAAAACCACGTTGTCCATTTATAGTGCAGTTGATAATAGACAAAGCAGGCGGAGGATCTTTACTTGTCAATGAGGTCACCATTTGATGAAACGTAGTGCATTCTCTAAATGGAAATTCCCTTACACAGTCTTTAAGGAATGTGTCCATCAAATCGAGTGAAACTCCATCCTTGCCTGGTTTCAGCAGCTTCTTTGAGAATATTTCTACAATATCATGTTTCTTTTCATCCTTATCTGCAGCAGGTTTCTGTTTGTCCCTAATATTACTGATTTCCCGTACAATATATGCAAGGTAGTGGTATTTAAAGGCCATTACCTCATTTGTTTCGCTGCCTCTTGTCATCTCTTTCTTACACATTAATTCTAAAACTTTAATCACTTTATCAGCATGCTCTAATAGAGCAGGTGAATGTTGTAAATTGAGGGCCAACCTAACTGGATGAATGTTGACACCGAGAACAAATTTATGGAGAGGTTCCACTAAGAAAGCAGGGAGATAAGGTTCTGTCTGCTGCCCTTGTAAGGTAGAGTAATAAGCGATCTCACTGCGCGGTAAATAATTATTTATGGTGGCAACAGTATGATGATTTCCAACGAAAGCAGCCATTTGGGCTGCACTACGTCCAACAGAGTTTGTTGCAGTTGATTTAGCACCTGCATCTAACAACAACTTGCAAACATCAGAGCTGCCGGATAGGGCACCAAAATGTAAAGATGTATAGTTGTATTCATGCTTGCCGGAATTCACATCAGCTCCCTGAAAACAGACAAGAAAACATTATGGATCTTATTCTACTCTTAGATGCATTGTTGTGAATTGAACTGAATTAAAAACTCACTCTATCAAGTAGTAACTGAACCATGTCCTTATTCCCCTTGTAGGCAGCGTGCTGTAGAGCCGTCATACCATTTTCGTCGAAGAAATCGACTCCGCCCTTATGCTTAGCCAAAATATTTTTAAATTCTGTCAAGTCACCCTGAGCGATTGCATCAAAAATGGTTTTCTCTGCTGGAGGATTGCCTTCGTTTTTGTCGCTCATTTTGGTTTTCTTTGCGTTGTAATTATTGGAAAAAACAACCTGCACCGAATTTGACAAACTGACATCTGTCTGATAAGATAGACACAAAAGTGATTAGACATTGAATTTTGAAAATGACATTGACATTTGCCTTACCAGTGCTACCAATAATAATAACTTCAATTACCTTACAACCTAAAACCAATTTTCCAACAATAATCAAATATTTTCTGACCTTTTACTATGTAATTTCTATTTTAAAGTAAGTTTCAATGTTTCGATATTGTATTTCTAGATAAATATATTTACGGTGCAATACCAACTGGCCTATTTCAATCAGGCTATGGAAGAGTTGTGCCACTTAGCACAAACAACGTCCTACTTACAAGGACGCTCTCGCCATATATATATTAATGTATTAGTACAAAAATAATTTTGAAGAAAATTGGAATACTTAATCTTTGTTACATTTATTGTTATTATTATTTACTGCAACGAAGCTAGGTTCATTAACAGGTATTATGGAAAATTTCTTTCGAGATAGCAATACTGTTTTTGTTTTAATTTTTAAAAGAATTGAAACCAAAGAATATTTGGTCTATAGAGGCTAATCTAAGGGTGCGGCCAGAGTGCACTCAGATTCAGATTTCGAAAACAAGCGCGAGAAATAAACAGTGTAGTCTAAGCAGGTTGCCTGCTTTTTCTCGCGCTTTGTTTTCTGAGTCTGAATCTGAATCTGAATCAGGAGTGCACTCTGGCCGTACCCTTCGATTACAGTGTTTATTTCTCGCGCTTGTTTTCGAAATCTGAATCTGAATCTGAGTGCACTCTGGCCGCACCCTAATATTTTTTGTTTTGCGTTAGTTTTACATTTTAATTGCACTGCATTTTATTGCTTTCCAGGCTACTCATCATAAATGTTATAACTGCTATACCTACGTATTAGAGAAATTCTATATCCATGATTATCATGGACATAAGATTTCTCTGTACTTGTGAAAAAATATCTACGACAGGCATACCTACTCCAAAAGTAGCTCCAAAATTGCAAGTAGACTTATTATAAATGGCCTGCTCAGACGAAGGACTTTTGCCCGCGGGGCACTAAAGTCCCTGAATAGTAAAAAATATGTCCGCCGAGTTCAACCGGACTCAACGCACATGCTGTGTGAACATTTGTCCCTCTAGTCCCGTTTAGAAAAGTAAATGTTATGGAACTAAATATGCTTAGATTACGTTGTATTGTACTTAATTAACATGCTAAAGTTTAAGAAAAAGAGAAGACGTTTTAAAAAGGTGTACTGGGAGTGGGTTAATTCTTTTAAATCAGAGAACGCGAATAATTGTGTCATTTCTGGCATGATTATATAAACTTAAATCTAAATATAACATTAGTCTCTCCTTTTCATTCTGTATAGGGAATGACAAGGATACACTGATGTCGATTCTGGCATGATTCTCTAAAGCTAAACTTAAATTTGACAACAGTGCATCCTTGTCCTTCTCTATACAGAATGAAAAGGTGAGACTGGCCTTATATTTAGTTTTAAGTTTAGATAATCACGCCAGAATTAACACCACTGTTGTCAAATTTAAGCTTAGGTTTAGAGAATCATGTCAGAATCGACACCATTGAATAATGGTATCAATAGGCTAGTTGACCCTTTTTGGAATAAGGTTTTAAATGGTTAATAAATGTTCTATTAGACCGAAAAAAAATGTATTGTATTTTTTAGAGACCTAGAAAGCTACAAATCTTTAATTTTAAAATAGAATTTTCATGGACATACAAAAACGCTGTCGGCCATTTTAGTCTATAGATTGTCTATGCTATGATGTCAACTGTAGTAAACAAAAACTCGTAAGCACGTAGAAAATAACTTATCTGAGTTTATAATAAAAAGAACATGATTTCTAATAAATACCACGAAAAATAAAGTAATTATCATTATTGTATTGTACGAGAATATAAAAACTGTTAAGAGGACAGCCTTTATTATACCACGAGTAATAAAGAGTCTTTACACTCTTCATAGATCTCTATGACTATAAAAGAGAGTAGTTGATATTGTCAGCTGTCTTGTAAAAATATATTTAGGTCTTGTGTGTCTTTTATGTAAATACCAAATAAAACTATTATATTTAATTATATTTCCAACTTTGTTTATGTTAATTGCCCATCAAATATAAAACTTAATATGGTAGCAGAGCGTTTACAGGAAAGAAAATGTCGATCGTAAAAATTTCTCCACTTGGAAAAGAAAATTATGACACATGGGTAATTCATGCAAAAGCATATTTAATAAAAAACAAATTATGGAAATATGTAACGAAGTATCCTGATGAGAAATCAGATTCTGAAAAAGAAAATGATGAACTTGCGAAAGCCGAGTTACTGTTACTGATCTCATCAACTGAATTAAAAGAAGTAAAGAACTGTCTCCACGCAAAAGACGTTTGGGAAAAACTCAAAGGTGTATATGCCAGTCAAGGGCCTGCCAGAAAAGCAACTCTATTAAAGAAATTGATATTGACTAGACTAGGCATTGATGCAGATGTTCGGGAACACTTGAAGGACTTCATGGATACGGTAGACAAACTAAAAGACTTAGATATAGAAATTAATAGTGACTTATTGTCCATAATGATGCTATATAGCCTCTCAAACGATTATGAGAATTTTAGAATTGCAATAGAATCGCAAGACTCACTAATAAGTCCAGAAAAGTTAAAAATTAAAATAATTGAAGAAAGTGATGCTCGCAATAGAAACATCCAACCTAATACAAGTTCAAGTAATGTCGAAGAAACATTTTATGCATTCTGCAAAATATGTAAGAAAAAGGGACATGAACAAGAAAAATGTTGGTATAAAAATAAAAACAAAAAGAACAAGAAAAATTTAAACTATAGACAAAATAGTTTAAATCAAAAGGAAAAGAATAACTTTACATGTTTTTCTTTATATCAACAAGAAATGAAAAACGGTTGGATATTGGATAGCGGATGCACGTCTCACATAACATTTTCAGATAAACCATTTACAAATATGAGAAATGTGAACCAAACATTAAAATTAGCATCAAAAGAGCACACGGCTGAAATCAAAGGATCAGGTCCGGCCCAAATAGAGACTAGGCAAGGACTAATAGGCATAGCAAATGCTCTTTATGTACCGAGTCTATGTACTAACCTTCTATCAGTCGGAAAGCTAACTGACGCTGGACATACTGTAACATTTACTAAAGAACGAGCAATCATAAAGGATAAAAAGCGCAATGTTGAAATAAACGTTAAAAGATCTAACGATGGCTTATATTATCTACGTACCAAAAATAATAATACTGATCGTCGGGAAAAAGCTAATGTTACTCAGACAAAAGAAAACAAATCTGATGATATACAATTATGGCATAGAAAATTAGGACATATGTCAGAGAAAAACATGAAGCATGCTTTGAGTAATAATTTACTGATTGGGTTAAATTTTGACCATAAAAACAAATTGGACGATTGTGAAATTTGTATTCAAGGAAAAATAAGTAGAATACCTAGCAAGTCTAGCACAATTACCCGTACCAATCAGCGACTCGAAATTGTACACAGCGATGTATGTGGACCCATGAAAACCGCTTCATTAAATGGAAATAAATACATGGTTACATTCATTGATGATTTTTCAAGATACTGTTATATATATTTTATACAACACAAAAATGAAGTACTTGAAAAGTTTAAGGAATATAAGAAAATTGTTGAAAACTTTACTGGAAATAAAATAAAATTCCTACAAAGTGACAACGGCACAGAATATTGTAACCGAGACTTTAACATATTCCTGAAAGAGAATGGTATATCAAGAAGATTGACAGCACCATACACCCCTCATCAAAACGGCATTGCCGAAAGAAAAAATAGAACCTTGATTGAAAAGGCAAGATGTATGATGTTAGAGTCGAAAGCACCATTACATCTGTGGGCAGAAGCTGTTCACACAGCCAATTACTTATCAAACAGGAGTATTAATCAAAGTATTGGACAAGTAACACCATTTGAATTGTGGGTAGGAAGGAAACCCTGCATAAACCATTTACATATATTTGGTGAAAACTATATGGCTACAAGGACTCTTAGAAGAACTGACAGAAGTCGAAAAGCCTATCATATATGTAGATAATGAATCTGCGATAAAATTATCAGAAAATCCTCCCTGCGAATATCATAAAAGAACAAAACATATAAAGCTTAAGCATTTTTTCATAAGAGAATGTGTCACCAAGGGTGAACTATCTGTGAAACAAGTTTCCTCGGAAAAGCAACTCGCCGATATGTTCACAAAACCTCTCTTTGGACCAAGACTGCGAGATCTAAGTAAAAGAATTGGACTCCAAGGTTTGAACTGTATCAGTCCCTAAAAGTCCTGGGGATGTTAAGAGGACAGCCTTTATTATACCACGAGTAATAAAGAGTCTTTACACTCTTCATAGATCTCTATGACTATAAAAGAGAGTAGTTGATATTGTCAGCTGTCTTGTAAAAATATATTTAGGTCTTGTGTGTCTTTTATGTAAATACCAAATAAAACTATTATATTTAATTATATTTCCAACTTTGTTTATGTTAATTGCCCATCAAATATAAAACTTAATAAAAACACATCCTTGAAGACTCCAGGAATGTTGTGGATTAAAGTGCCGAAAGAAATTAACCTACGCAACTTTATTACACTTAATTCATATGTTGTATCAGTTTTATGTTTATTACTACATTGTAATACTAAATGCACTTTACTTACATAGATGCCTTGTCGTTTCTCTGCTCCGCAGAGCAGAAATCGGGGTTCAGTGCAAAAAATTCACCAACCATCAATGCGTCAATTCTTGGCAGATTTGTGCTTTCTGCTTTCATAAAGCCGGCATCCATAATTAGTTTTGTCAAAAAAAACAGTAAACGGAAACTTTTCTAAAGTTAAAAGTGTTTTAAGAAAAATTTATTCAGACTAAAGAATCCACCCATAACAACACGCGAATGACATTGAGTTGTTTACTGAAAGAGACGTCACAATCATGGCGGATGTAGCGAACAGCGTTTTTAGTGTTTAAAAAATATAGACTAAAAAATATTTTTTTAAATTAAATTTCTACAGCAATCTTCTGCTTTTATGAAGTGAAATCGATATATTTAGGTTCCTTAGACCAAATACTGTAAGAAATAAACATTTATTTAATACAATTCGACATGAGTCAACTAGCCTATTCTGACTCTTTTTCTGATTTAAAGGAATGGACCCAGTCCCAGTACTCCCTTTTAAAAGGTCTTCTCTCTTTCTATACCACCCGCGTACTTTTGTCCTGTCTGGTCTCTTCCTATCCATGACACGACCTTCTATGGACGTTCTTTTACCGTCCAAGCTGTACGTCTATGGCGTTCTCTTCCAGTTTTAAAGGTACTATTCCGTGCATCGCGATCGATCGCGGCCGCGCGCGGCTTACGGCTGTCGTCGGTCGCTCGCGACAATAGTCATAGTATGAAAATTTACGGCACCGCTTCCTAGGTCTGCGACAGACGCGCGCGGCCGACGACTGACGTGAGCCGCGCGCGGCCGTGTCTCAAAGTTGGTATCCGTCGTTTTAATTGGCCAACGAAAAGTCTTGACCTCAATCCAATTGAGTTTGTCTGGGATGATCTAAAGAGACGGCTAAGGTCAATGCAACCTGCTCCACAAAACATCAGGGAGATAAAAAGAGTCATTGGAGAACAGTGGGAACGTATTCCTCAAAACGTAATTAAAAACATCGTGAAAAGCAAAGCAGAAGGATTTTAGCTGTGTCACAAGTTTTGGAAAGAGGTTACACTCGTTATTAGGTTTTCATCATCATCATCAACAGCCTACATTAGTCCATTGCTAGACATAGGCCTCTCCAATTGTATGCCACTGAGTTCGATCTTGGGCTTCTTTTTAACTTTATTTAATTAAAAAAAGTAAAACATTCTTCTTGTCTTTGTTGCCGACCACTTTTTATTATTTGACCGTGTACATTGGTTTTAAAGAATTCATCGAAAATTTATAAAAACAATTGCAGGAATTCACTTCACGCGTATTAATTTAGACGATTATAAGTATAAAGACTACGTAAAACAATAACATTTCTGAAATCGACCTTATTCGTGCCCATTTTCTTTTGCAAAAGAGTGTATGAAATTATATTAATATTATGAAGTACAGAAGTTATGTTTTGCTTAAAAGGTAGTATATCGAACTTGAAACTCCCAACCGCAGAATAAAATTGACAAGCAGTTTATGATTATCTCAAGTAAATCGGGGGCTATAAAGTATCATTTTAAAATTATTTCGTTGAAAATAACATATTAAATTAAATTGAAAAGGCCAGAGGGTATTATTTTAAATAAAACTTCAAACTTGTATTAATCCGAACGGGCAATAGGGTATTAACTTAACATAATACTGTTTAGAATACTCACAATCATATATTTTGCCTAGAAATTGACGACTGGACGGGTCATAACTAACATGCGACTGTCTTGACTGTCTCGAAAATGACGTTCATGAACAGTCAAGAAAGACATATGTAGCTATAATTCAAAAACTATTTATAATGAAAATACAATTGTCTTACCAATTTATAGAGAACAGAATGAAGTTTTCGAAACGCAAATAAAAAAAAATCCACTTAATACCCTATTGTTTGTGAGGTGTGATATGTTTAATTTATAAATTCCTTTATATCCCTTGTTCTTTTTTTTATGGGTAAGTCCGACAAATGACTCCTGATGTTAAGTGATGGTGAAGTCCAGACGTGAAGACTGACCCAAAGCTTTTTTCTGCTATTATGTACATTTAAAAATACTGTAAAAAAGCGAATCTATCAACATCGGTAAAACTAATTATATATAACATAACTCAATCAAATACTATTCGTCCAATTTGTTGTCTTTATGGGCGTCTCTTTTTGTTACAGAATATAATTGTGACCGTTTTAATCTTGCGTTCTAAAACGGTAACCTTTATCAACAATCTTAAAACTAAATTCAAAATTTGCCAAGCATGTACTTCTTTTAAACCATTGACTAGAAAAATAAATGTGTTATTATTAATATGCACTTTTCCATATTACTGTAGGTACTGGATCCGGCGACATTAGAATCCGTCCTTTTGCGAATCCGATGAAGTACGAACAGATGGGTGATCATTAGGTAGGTACATAATAAAAAAATATGTAATGAATATGATAATAAAAGACGAATTCACAGTAAGTATAAACAATTTTATTACTAAGAACCAATAGTCATTATGGCTGTCATGACGATTGATCATTATAATTAAGTATAATAAAGATAAATACATACCTACTCAACATCTAAATATTTATCTATCATTAATAAGAGTTCAATATAATAACTCTTTACTAACATCGACCACCTTATGCAATGCTGCAATCTATAATATAATTATTTTGCTACAAGAAATTGAATAAAGACACGATTTTTATTTAATCATTCCATTACATTAATACATCTATAATAATATTTCTTATAATAAGGTTAGTATATTGAGTATTTAAAATATATTGCAAGCGTGTAAATGGCACTATAACATAAGGCTGCATCTACACTACACATCGAGATCAAAATTTGTAGCGAGTGTGTAGCGTGTTTATCTTACACTAAACTGGAAGAACATTATTCACTAGAAAAACAAAATTATATTATTCATAATATACGATTCATCAATCCGCATTGCCCACGACGGAGTGATGAATGACGAAAAAAAGGAAAAAAATGGAGCACCTGTCTACATACCGATTATATTGAAGAGAAAAAGTTTCAATTTAATATTATTACTTACCTAATGGTAAGATAAATATTTCACTAACATTCAAGTTTAACATCTACCTGCATGTTATAATACTAAGGTACATAAATATAATGATGAGGGTATATGAACTTTTTTACTTAAATATAATTATTTGTGTACACACTACTGTTTCTATTATCTACACAGCATTTGTTTCTTCTTAATTATTACTGAAGATATTTATTTAGCAATCAACATAACTATTTATCTGAATTCAGATATAGCATATATGGATTTAAACTTATTTCTTACGCCTTAGTAGAAAGTAGATACCTACATACATTTGATTAGATATAACTTCAATACTACGATAAGTTAATGAAAGTAAAGAAACAGTTTTAAACCATTTCGTCATTTCGAAACCTTAAAGCTATTTATTTATTTAAAAAGTTTCAATATAAATACCATTATTAAGAAGCTGCTATAAATATTTAAATTGTATATGTATTTAGTTAAGCAAAGCATGGCTAACAGCAAATAAAAGAAAATTATGAATTCAACATTTCATTTTCTTTCCTTATAATATTAATGCTACAATACACGTTTTCATCGAAATGTACAATATTTTATCTCTAATTTATAATCTTAGCTTATATACAAACTATGAATGGATATTAAAACAAAATAAAAGTGGTAACTGTTTTTGTAATATTTTGGGTCAATTATATTATTGTTGCTTTGAAAACTAAACACAAAATATCATACAAAAAATGTATGTATTCGTTTCCTTTGCCAACGCCATCTATCGGGTGAACAAGTAAATGCCTATTAGAAATTGCAGGATTTAAAGTTTAGCCTACGTAATTTGCAATTAGCCTATGCTTTTGGATAAAATAAAAAATAAAAACTTATGTTCGGGTGTTTGTGTAATAAATACAGATTTTGTTCCAGTTTTCAACCTTAATGCTTGGTTATACACACTATTATCGAACTATCGCTATAACATCGACGGTTTGCTGAATTACATTCATTATTGTATACAAAAATGCTACATTAACTTATTATAAATACACCTATGTGGAATGCTTCGAAACTAATCGGAACTATTTTGACTGCTATTAATGTATGTATAATTAACCTACTCCAAAAAAATTAGTATACACACAGATCAAAAATTTATTACCTAGTCTCGAATACATATTGCTTAATGAATTAGCTAAACCTACTTACTTGCATTGAATATAACACCTGTTAACACTTAAATGGATAACATACATAGTTATAGGTAGCAGAAAATGGTCTTGAGCAAACCACAGGCAAATAAACTTGCGCAGTAGACGGTTTTTTGTCCGTAAAATTATTACTGCTCAGGTTACCTTGTCTTTGGTCATTGCTCAAGAAGTTTACCGGGATGTATACTAAAGTTACTGTAAAATAAATCACTAAAAACATGCTGATACTCTATTTACTTCAGTAGGTTCACATCCAATTAAAATTCTAATATTACATTTACTTACTACCTAAAATACGACACATTTCTTTGCCATTATGAAATCAGAAATTACGATTTTTTATCCCATGTCCGGAATAGATGTAAATTTACCAATTTCAACACAATTCTTTACCATGAAGAAAATTTCATTAATTATTATGAAAGTTATGTGAAGTTGGTACTTATATTAAGTAAGTAGTTAAATTTTATATTTGGCAGCTGATTTCATCGTAATCCTCAAATTTCGTCATAATAAAATAAATAACTGTCTCTGTGACTGAACTAAGTTGACGGAAATGCTTAAATGAAACATTCTCTATAATTAATTTTAAATGAGTCAATTAAAACTATTATTTTATATTATTATTTAAGATTACTTAGTTATTTTTCCACCCTACAAGCATTGGTTTAATTTTAATTTTCAACAACCGCACATCTGTCTACCAGCTACTCTTAATGGGTTTCGTTTCACAATCATTAAATTGTATTATTTTATTGATAGATTAGAACACCTTATTTATGTTAAGATGCCTTGGAAAGAATTATATAGCTAGATATAGGAATTGAGTAAAGCTACTGCTAAGATACACATATATTATGGATGAATTTGTAAGTGTCACATTTATAGAATTTTTACTAACACTTTTTTGTGTTCACGCTATCGAAGGTAGTATAGATCGCGGCAAACTTCTTGACAAAACCCAAACACAAATAAACTTGCGCAGTACACGATTTTGTATGTAAAATTGCTTCAGCGCAGGCTTCCTTGTCTATGGTACTTGCTCAAAAATTCGTCGGGGTGTATACCTAATTTTGATAGAGTTAAGACATGGTGACCACTGAACATAGTTTGTATTGTTTGTTTGATTATCGTCGATTTAATATTTGAGATCAACCAACAAAATATACACTATTAAAACAAAATAAAAGCATCATTGCATTCATGGTCACCATGGCATACATTATATTATTAGGTATTATATTCTAATTTGGAAATTTTATTCTATTAAAATACGAGATAACCCGCTGTACTCCGTATCACCTATCCTAACGACATTAAAACTCTCCCTTCGCTAAATTGTCAGGCAAATCAGGCATTTTTGACAGGAAAGTAGGTAGAACAGTTTATATGGGAAATACAATTTTAGATTTTACTAATTTCCACGCAAATTTCCATATTTTCTCATCGTTTAAAATTTCCTTTTCCAACAGCTAAATCGGCCCAGCTGTTCTCGAGTTTCAGCGAGACAAACTAACCACAATTGATTTATATATAGAAGATAATAAAAATACTAGAACAACCTACTAACAAATGTTGATATCACAAAAGACTATAAGGTATTATATATGACAATACTTAAATTCGAACTTAGAAACATATAATGAAAGAACAGAATACAATAATTTCAAATGTGGAAACAAGAGACTTCATTTATTTGGAGTAAATACAGAGTTGCTTCCATGGAGGTTAGAGAGAAGGAGAACGATCGCTGTAGAAAATAGTGTCCCAGAAATATGGACAAAATAAGTGAGGCGCTGCGATCGCTAAGTTCTCTCAATAAAAGCGGACTGTTATGCGCTAATTTGAAAGGAAATGACCAATGCCGCCAAGATAATTTGTACATTATTCAACTAACTTCATCTACTTGTACTCATAAACAGCTAACTTCACAGATACTACTTATCGACGGCAGCGCAGCTGGTGGCTGAAATATGAACTATAAATTCTACAAATTTTCAAAGACTAATGCTTTAGTACTTAGCGATCGTTCTCCTTCTCTTTAACCTCCATGGTTGCATCGCTATTGGAGGCCTTGACTGTGTCCAGTTCAGTTCAGACATAGTAGACGTCGAAGGAGAGCGGCGCTCAGACGAGCTGCGGCGCGGAGGCGGGTGGCGGCGCGGCGGGCGGCGGCGGTGACGGCGCCAGTCTAACTCCGCCGCTCTCTGATACCACCATGCCGTTGGCCGCGCCCGCCGTCGCTGCAACCGCTGCCGCTGCCGCCTCTGAGTCCGCGTACGGCGTCGTCAATGTACGGAGACGCTGGATGAGCATAAACAAAACATATCTTGATGAGCTCATTAAAAGCATAGCTATGCTGCGTTACAGGAGGTGGTCCATCGAGCCGGACGATGGACAAATAATAGAAATAGGCTGTTGTCATTGCGACAAATCGAAGAAGTGGAGTGTACAGTGATTTGTATGAAATATAAAAGTAGTATCGAGGATGACTGTTCAGTTAAGCAGGAAGGGCGAAGTCTAACTCCGGCGCTTTCTGATACCACCCTGCCGTTGGCTGCGCTCGCCGTCGCTGCCACCGCTGCTGCCACCGCCTCGGAGTCCGCGCATGGCGTCGTCAATGTGCAGAATCGCTGGGTACAATAATAAACATACCTTGATGAGCCCTGCACTGTTAAAGGCGATGGTCCTTCGAGCCGAGTCGTTTATGCGACTAATACGAGAAGTAGATTGAATAGTGATGTGTTGAAATATAAAAGTTATATTGGCGATGACTTTGTTCAGTTCGGATACCACCATGCCGTTGGCCGCACCCGCCGTCGCTGACACCGCTGCCGCTGCCGCCTCGGAGTCCGCGTACGGCGTCGTCAATGTACAGAGACGCTGGATGAGCATAAACAAAACATACCTTGATGAGCTCATTAAAAAGCATAGCTATGCTGCGTTGCAGGAGGTGGTCGAGCCGGATGATGGACAAATAATACAAATAGACTGTTATTTCGACTGTTGTTATTGCGACAAATAAAAGAAGAAGGGTGTACGGTATTTTTTATGAAATATAAAAGTAATATCGAGGATGTCTGTTCAGTTAAGCAGGAAGGGCGCAGTCTAACTCCACCGCTCTCTGATACCACCATGCCGTTGGCCGCGCCCGCCGTCGCTGCCACTGCTGCCGCCTGCCTCGGAGTCCGCGTATGACATCGTCAGTATATGAAAACGCTGGGTACAACAATTAACATACCTTGGTGAGCCATGGAGTAACACAAGAAGTGGTCCTTTGAGCCGGATCGTTTATTGGGTAGTGCGACAAATAAAAGAAGTATATTTAAAATAAAAGTAATATCGGCGATGACCGTTCAGGACTGTTTAGTCAGGCTGGGAGGCTGGTACAATAATAAAGATACCTTGATGAGCCATGCAGCGTTACAAGAGTTGGTTCTTCGAGCTGGATCATTTGTTGGGGAGGGGCTGGTGCTGTAGTTAAATATATAAAAAAAATGCGGCGTACGGTCTGTTCACACGTTAGTCATGAACTCCAATTTTCCATCACATCGCTGCTGTAGTGACAAATTGGGCACGTTTCAATGTTAATGAGGTGCCAAACAAGCCTATAGACGTTTGAGATACAAAAAAAATTATGTGGTGTCGTGGGGCACCAGGTAGGAACGAAGTTCCTTCGGCTAATGTAGAATCGACACAAATTGCAAACTCGCTTGTGTATGCGACTGTCGCACCTGCGCACGTCTCATTTAACAGTTTTATTCCACGCACTTTTTTCCACGGATTTTTTCTTACAGTGTTGGTGTAATATCACAATATTTCAGTGATGCACCCTCGTCGCTCTACCACCCCCTATAACTTCACACATGTTCACTGTTGGTGTAATTTCACAATATTTCAGTGATGCACCCTCGTCGCTCTACCACCCCCTATAACTTCACACATATTCACTGTTGGTGTAGTATCACAATATTTCAGTGATGCACCCTCGTCGCTCTACCACCCCCTATAACCTCACACATATTCAGTGTTGGTGTATTATCACAATATTTCAGTGATGCACACTCGTCGCTCTACCACCCCCTATAACTTCACACATATTCACTGTTGGTGTAATATAACAATATTTCAGTGATGCACCCTCGTCGCTCTACCACCCCCTATAACTTCACACATATTCAGTGTTGGTGTAATATCACAATATTTCAGTGATGCACACTCGTCGCTCTACCACCCCCTATAACTTCACACATATTCAGTGTTGGTGTAGTATCACAATATTTCAGTGATGCACCCTCGTCGCTCTACCACCCCCTATAACTTCACACATATTCAGTGTTGGTGTAATATCACAATATTTCAGTGATGCACCCTCGTCGCTCTACCACCCCCTATAACTTCACACATATTCAGTGTTGGTGTAATATAACAATATTTCAGTGATGCACCCTCGTCGCTCTACCACCCCCTATAACTTCACACATATTCAGTGTTGGTGTAATATCACAATATTTCAGTGATGCACCCTCGTCGCTCTACCACCCCTTATAACTTCACACATATTCAGTGTTGGTGTAGTATCACAATATTTCAGTGATGCACCCTCGTCGCTCTACCACCCCCTATAACTTCACACATATTCAGTGTTGGTGTAATAAAACAATATTTCAGTGATGCACCCTCGTCGCTCTACCACCCCCTATAACTTCACACATATTCAGTGTTGGTGTAATATCACAATATTTCAGTGATGCACACTCGTCGCTCTACCACCCCCTATAACTTCACACATATTCACTGTTGGTGTAATATAACAATATTTCAGTGATGCACCCTCGTCGCTCTACCACCCCCTATAACTTCACACATATTCAGTGTTGGTGTAATATCACAATATTTCAGTGATGCACACTCGTCGCTCTACCACCCCCTATAACTTCACACATATTCAGTGTTAGTGTAGTATCACAATATTTCAGTGATGCACCCTCGTCGCTCTACCACCCCCTATAACTTCACACATATTCAGTGTTGGTGTAATATCACAATATTTCAGTGATGCACCCTCGTCGCTCTACCACCCCCTATAACTTCACACATATTCAGTGTTGGTGTAATATAACAATATTTCAGTGATGCACCCTCGTCGCTCTACCACCCCCTATAACTTCACACATATTCAGTGTTGGTGTAATATCACAATATTTCAGTGATGCACCCTCGTCGCTCTACCACCCCTTATAACTTCACACATATTCAGTGTTGGTGTAGTATCACAATATTTCAGTGATGCACCCTCGTCGCTCTACCACCCCCTATAACTTCACACATATTCAGTGTTGGTGTAATAAAACAATATTTCAGTGATGCACCCTCGTCGCTCTACCACCCCCTATAACTTCACACATATTCAGTGTTGGTGTAATATCACAATATTTCAGCAGCGCGGCAAAATTCCTATCCCCTCCAAGCCTGCCGTAACGAACTTCGTCGCGCCTGCGCACGTCTCATTTAACGGTTTTATTCCACGCATTTTTTCTTACGGTTTTACTATCACATTTTTTTTAGTTCGGTCGCGCAGCAAAATCACTATCCCCTCCAAGCCTGCCGTAAGGAACTTTCGTTCCAAAATATCACTCACGCTGTTGCCTATACTGATCCAACCCCTTCCTCCGTGGTGTCCTGGAACCCTACTCACCTACATAATCAAAACCACTAAAAGATACTGTTATTTTACTGTGTTCTTCTGTAAGGTGGAGGTTACTTCCCCAGACGAGCGCTCCAATTCGAGCAGGAAATCCGCTTTGCCCTACCTCTCTTAAAAGTTTAATAGTTGTTATTTAAAACACCTGGAGGAGTAGAATGATTTTCCCGGATTTTATCAACTCCTAAAGTGCCCCCAAGTCTACTGCAAAGTCTTCTTCATAAGCATGTAATTTAAAAATGAAGTTGAATTTATAATTATCTATTATTATTATTAAAAAAGGCCGGGGCTAAAAGTACAATCAATGTATGTATTTTTATATCTAGCAGTTGTGGACTTACTTTCAAGAAAGTGCCCTTAGTGGTCAACAGTGAAGATAGCCATCCGCCGGTATACATAGCACACTACTTCCCGCTATGGCCCATCCGAGCGAGTTGGCCCACCACGGGTATACATATCCCTCGTACGCTTCGTTGTCCAAGAACCAGTAAACCGTAATGAATAGGAGCAAGCATTGTTATATCTAGGACTCGTAGACTTACCTCAAAGAAACTGCTCTTAGTGGTCAACAGTTTGAAGATAGCCACCGCGGGTATATATAGCACACTACTTCACGCTATGGCCCATCCGAGCGCGTTGGCCAATCACGGTTACCCATATCCCTCGTAATGCAACTGTTCGAAATCCATGAGCCCCTAAACCGTGAGCATTGTTTTATCTAGGAGTCGTAGACTCACCTCAAAGAAAGTGCCCTTAGTGGTCAACAGTTTGAAGATAGCCACCGCCGGTATACATAGCACACTACTTCCCGCTATGGCCCACCCGAGCGCGTTGGCCCACCACGGGTAAATGTATCCCTCGTACTGCAACGGTTCGTAGTCCAAGAGCCCATACGCTGTGATAAACAGAAGGAAGGCGGGCGCTGCGAAACGCCAGCACACGCGCCAATACAAGCCGGGGCGGAAGCCGATCATGTCGCGGATGTCCTCGCAGAACCGTTCGGTACCTGAACAAAAAGAAGAAAATAATTCCTGTATATAATAATATAATTGTTTCTTATGTTTTCACGCACATCACTCATTAAATAAAACTACTTTTAACGGGTTAATGCACGAAATTTAGTTATTTATTGACGTTTCGCAGCCTTTTCAGGTCTGAATCGTCAGAATAATTCTATATAAGCATAATTATTCTGACGATGCAGTCCTGAAAAGGCTGAGAAACGTCAATAAATAAATAAGTTTAACCCGTTAAAACTAGTATTATTTAATAACAATATAAGTTAAGTAATATAGAGAGAGGGGTCAAATTTCGATAAATATATTGTACTTTATAATGTAAGTAATTTAAGTCACGAAGAGATGGAACATTTCTAACTAAGACGCAAGGACTCAAGACGTCTTAACTTAAAGAGCAATTTGCAAAGAAGTACCTTCAATCTTTGAACTTCGTCTACTTTACGTTATTTCATGTGTCACAGGTAAGCACATAACAAAAGTGAGTTGGTGTCGTCTTCTGTCTATGTGAAAAAAATGTTTATCTGTGCCCGTACAAACGTGCAACTCCCTGTTTACGCCCTTAAATATTGATTTCTGGGATTAAAACTATCCTATATCCTTTTCCGGGACTTAAAGTATCTATATACCAAATTTCATCTAAATCGATTCAGCGGTTCAAGTGTGAAGCGGTGACCGACAGAAAAGATTTTCGCATTTTTAATAATAGTGTGGATTTCAAATAAGATTTTAGAACTTAGAATGATCCTCGAGTAAAACTTGCAACTGACTCACCATATATCCATGAAACAGCAATCGCCTCGAAGAAAACAGCGACCAGTATAGAGTAGCCGGCAGCATATCGATCCAGCAGTTGGAAGAAGTAGAAGCCGCCTTTAGTGCACGATGCCAGACCCACGAAGAAGTAGAGTGTGAACAGACACGCCACGAACAACTCCCGGTGACGCCCGATCGGTGGAAATTCGTCGCTCAGAGCCGTTATGATCGCTTCAGATCCGCCAAACTGTAATAACATTGTTGCTTTGTCGAATTCGTGTGAGTTACATATCTTTTAGGTTATAAAAATTATTATTTCTATGGAACAATGAACCTTAAACTAAAAACCTTAAAAAATATAATATAATAACTAAAACATATTACTAAAAGGAGTCCCTTTAGGCAAGGTTCCGAAGATACTGGCAGCGTTCCCCCTTTGAATAGCTAGACTAATTCGTTGTCCGAGGTAGCTGCTAGCTCTTTGGTCTCCAGTGATGTCGACTAACCTTTTTGATATTTTTTCCTTAAAAAACTTCATAGCGCTAGGACTTAGGACCCCACGGACCAAGGGTCTCGACACCGAATGGGACAAAATCATATTCGGAGCCTAGACCCCTATATTAGCATGCTTTTTGGTTATGATGAAAATTTGTCAAACAAGTATATAGCACACCTGAGGGCAAGCGGCCATCAATTGCCTACTAGCTACGTATAGACACTTAGGATACCAAAAATATCACCAGCAACGTTGCTTACCGACTGGCCCAATCTCCTACCCCTTGAAAATATTTTGACACCCATTAAGATACAACCGATTTCCAGTTACCGCTTGTTGAAGTATTCTCCAGAAGTGTTTTTGTTTATTGGTAACTGTTTATTCATTTGTCTCCGATTTTGCCAGGTGAAAAGCGACAATAAAGACAACGAAGCACACACTTAAATTGATCAAGATATATAAACGGAGGAGTCTTTCAATCCACCAATCCGCACTGTAAAACAGTTTTTATTTGATCTTTTATGTAACTCAGCCATTTGCCCTAGCAATGAGGACATTAACGGACCATTACTGATGATGGGGTACTGTAGTCAGTGATCGCTTCGTAAGACACATTTCTTAATAAGTTTTCAAGCATTTTTGTTTTTAAGTTCTAACAGAAACTCACAGAGCTATCCAGTCCCAATGTCAGAAGCATCATGAAGAATATGAGAGCCCAGAAGGTGGAGCCCGGCATGGTTGCTATGGCCGCTGGATAGACCACGAACACCAAACCCGGACCTTCTGTCGCCACGTCCTGCACGTCCCTGCCCGAAGCGAGTGCCATGTAGCCCAACACGCTGAAGATTACGAAGCCAGCCACGAATGATGTGCACGAATTGATGACGCTGGTTAGGATCGCATCTCTGTGAACAATATTCAACATCATCAACACCAGCCTATTAATGTTCCCACTGCTGGGGCACACGCCTTCCCTATGGATGTAATAGAGAGATTAGGCCATGACATGATCCACCACGCGGGCCAATGCGGATTGGTGGGTGCTAATGACTGCAGATGCAGCCGGGCCAACGGCTTAACGTACCTTCCGAAGCACGGAGGAGCTCGAGATAATAAGTTTTTGGCCATCCAAGTGTCAACGGACAAGTCCACCCAAAAAGTGATAAGTCTACTCAGCAAGGTGAGGATGACTGGAGCGACACACTTCTCTGACACTCAAAATTAAGGGCAATTGAACCTGCTACGTTAAAAAACAATTTTTTTTAGAGGAGGTGAAAAAAACTGGTTTTTGAGTGCTTTTAATATTTTTTTTTATTATAATGCTCAAACTGTAAACTTGACTTACTTGTAAACGTTGTTGTGATACTTGTTGTATGATGCATAAGCCAATAGCACACCAAAACCTGGACCTAACGAAAAGAAAACTTGAGTCGCTGCATCTACCCATACCTGGACAAGAAAAAGAAATCTTAGCAAAGTACTTACCATTAAGTATTAAGTACTTGTTTACATCAAGTGTTAAGTACCTCTTTACTGTCTTTACCAAAACTTACCTGCGGTTGCGTGATGGCTTCAAAGTTGGGACTTAAGTAATATTGGATACCCATTGCCGATCCGGGAAGAGTGATGCCTCTTACCAAAAGAATCAACAGTACAGCGTAAGGAAATAAAGCTGTGAACCAAACCACCTGAAAAACATAAAACCTTTTAGAATAATTAAGTAAAAGTATTCATTTGACTATGTGGGTTACCTACAATGCGAAGAGATGGCGCTGCCTTGCAGCTTAAGAATGGCTAGAAGAATTTCGACGCGGCCGTGAGGGCCGCGGTAGCATAATTGGTCAGTGCATTCTCCCGGATTGCGAAGGGTGCGGGTTCGAGTCCCGCCTGCTGCCGCGCCTGGTCCGCGTGAATTTTTCTAGTTATATTTTCTTTAGATTTAAACATCAAGCAGTTACATGCTTAAAAAAATAAAATTATAAGGAAATATTTTTCATTATTTAACCTATGTGGGAATCTAAAATCTAAAAATGGAATGGAAATCTGGAAATGATTACTCAGAACAGAAAAATATATTTTTTGGTATATTTATATTAAGTGTATTTTTTATGTTTTTGTTAATACCATTTAACTGCTTGATTCAAAAATCTATCTAAAGAAAACTTTTAATAGAAACAACAAGTGACTAAATAAAACAAGTTTCAATGGGTTAGATGCACTGATTTTATTAATTTGTTGCTGCATTTTTTGCAGCAATGCGAAGGAAGGGAGGAATGCGTCGTCGGAATAATATTATAATACCCGTTGAAACTTGTTTTATTTAATGAGTGATGTGCGTGAAAACCTTAAACTATAACACGTGATTATCTAACAAGTATTTGTCCAAACTAAAGATTTGAATAAATGTTAAGGTTCAACCTATCATAACGTCGTACTTTTGCTAAAGCTTGGTGATAGCTTTTAGCAAAAATATTTCAGAAAATGTCGTAGGCTGAAAATCTCTTTGCACCTTTCCAGAAGTGCTGATACCCTTCCATAGGGAGAAGTAGCAGATTACATACACGGCGAGCAGGCACAACGCCATGTCCCATTTAATGGTGCCCAAGTCATGCAAACCTTCACTACCATGCAGCTCCAAGATAGCACGGCTGAAAACAAAGATGGAACGTTGTAGAAAAAATTTATCACAACCTACCCCACTCCGTCCACTTTAAATAGATAATGGAATAATGGCGTCGATTTTGGAATGATTTTCTAAACCTAAACTTTGATTTTGATTGTATCCTTGTCATTCTCTATACAGAATGAAAAGAAAAGACTGATGTTAAATTTAGTTATAAGTTTAGAGAATCATGCCATAATCGACACCAATATCCATCATTTGTTAAGTCAATCCATCCATAAGTTGCAGGTATGAAGGTGGTCTAATACTTTTATTTATTTTCAATTCTGTTTAATGAAACTGTCTACTGCGAGGCCTTGAATTTTAAAGATAGCTGTTATATTACTTTTTTAAAAGCAATTGATCCTACTAATATTATAAATGTGTTAGTTTGTATGTTTGTTGCTTAATCGCGCAAAACAATGCTGAATGGATTGCGATAAAAATTTGACACACCTATAATTAGTTTGCTTAGATTGAAACAGGATACTTTTTATGCCGAAAACTGTTAGGTCCCTGAAGAATTCTCAAAAACTAAAGTTAACGCGGACTTAGCCGAGGCTAGCCGAGCTAGAACAAATAATACTCACTTGAAATATTCGGAAGCGGCGGAAGTAAAGGGGGTAGTTTGGGGAGGACCGAGGGATGAAGACACATTTTGCCGCAGTCTTGATCTGTTGCCTGAGTCCAGTACAGCTTCAAACTGTAAAAATATACCATTTCTGATTATTATCTAAATGTACTGTACCACGGCTAGTATTCTGAGGAGTTATGCTCTCTTACTCCACCTTCCCCTTTCCTTCAGAGGACCACGCGCTGGCCTACATTGTCACCAACTAACTGTGGCCACTATTCCAACGCGTACAAAGAAATTTGGTGACTCATTTCTTTGTCGCACTATCCATAAATGGAATGCTCTGCCCGCTTACGTGTTCCCTCCCTCTTACAACCTGGGATCCTTCAAAAGAGGCGTGAAGAAGCAACATGCAGGCCGGCAGGGTGAGGATGGCTGGTGTGGCGGGTAGAACTGCTGTATCAGCTATCTTCGGAAATAAACGAGAAAACACGTTAGGAAAATAGAAAATAAAATAAGGGCAATTTTTAATGTGTTCCCTTCCTTTTGAAATGGGTTTCATCCGGTTTTGATATTTTTCCTTCTCACAAATAATCGGCCCGGGCGATATGTAATATTCGATATAATATAGTTTTGGTCAGCCATCTTTTGCGAGTTGCTAACGCCGAACGCGCTTACTTTTTTTATAGATATGTCCGAAAAATGACTCCACCCCACCTGATGTTAAGTGACGGTGAAGTCCAGACGCGAAGATAGCTGATAAAGCAGTTCTGGCTGCCACACCAGCCATCCTCATCCTGCCGGCCTGCATGTTGCTTCTTCACGCCTCTTTCAAAGGATCCCAGGTTGTAAAAGGGAGGGAACACGTGAGCGGGCACAGCATTCCATTTACGGATAGTGCGACATAGAAATGAGTCACTAAATCTCTTTGTGCGCGTTGGAATTGTGGCCACAGTTAGCCACAGTGTGACAACGAAGGCCAGTGCGCGTGATCCTCTGACGGAAAGGGGAAGGTGAAATAGAATAACTTCTCAGAACACTCACCGTGGTACAGACGATAGAACGCGCTTAGTGACGCCACGTCACGGCGTAATTGAAGAGGCTGGAGGTGTTTAGTCACCTCCTCATCGCCTATGATGCTCAACTTGCCCCATTAAATTCTTCGTTATATGACTCAGAAAGAATTTAACATCAGACAAAGTATAATAATTATTCAATTTCTTTTTAATAAGAATCTACATTACCGGTCGGCAGGCAGGCGTGTTCCAATCGTTGTCGCAATTGGTCCACGGCAGCATTGTGGTGAACGAAGCAAAGAAGAACCGAAGCGCCCACGCGATGATCACGTTGTAATAGAAGTCCACATAGAAGGCTATCAATACGACAGCGTAGCCGATACCTATACAATACATATTCAATTCAATTTATAGCACTCATGCGATGGTTACAAGTTACAAATTCATAAAGAACCTAACACGAACCATGTCAGGGTATCGCAATATAGTAGTGTCTTACAGATAAAAATTACAAAACTGTATTTATTAAATAAACAATTTGATCGAATAATCTATTTGAAGAACCTAATTTGTAGTAAACAACTTCATTTCTCAAATCATGCATTAATGTCATCTGATTACATTAATTTTATATTAAAACTTACTCAATTGATCTTATTTATAGTAATAGATTAATTAAGTACTTTAATTTTGTAATAATTATTATGGAAATTCATTTATAAAATTATGTTTGCCAATAATTAAAATATTGAAAATGTTGAATGATGTAAAGTTAGATTTAAATTTTGCGAAGCAATTAATATCACTTTTGCCATCTGCACAAATCGGACAGAAATAGTTTGAAAGGAGAATGTTGGTAAACACCGCAGTCGCTTGATTTTTCATAGTTAAAAGTGTTTTGAGTTTTAATGTGACTTAAATGAAATCATGGAAAATCATCAGAGAGGGAGGGCATAGCGGATTTTTCGCTACAATTGAAGCACCTGCCTGGTGAAGTTATCTCCACCTTTCAGAGGACCACAGTAAAGTAACACTACCTTTTGGTGATGTTGTGTTTCTGTCGCTAAGGTTCCAGGGCTCCACGAGGTAGGGAATTGGGTCAGGGTATGCAACGATGCGACTGGTAGTTTTTGTATCGCAAGCGGCTATAGGCTATGGTGCCGCTTAGCATCAGGCGGGCAAAATGCCTGTTTGCCACCCTTTAAACATAAAAATACGACGGGTTGCATTCCGGGAGTGCCGGCAGAAGTGAAATCTTGAATATTAACGTTGTGCATTTTTGATATTTCGGAATGGTTAGCGAATAATTTTGCACGAATTGCTTTAATTATCAGTATAAAAGTACTATCGTTTATGTGGTAGAATACAATATTTATTTATTGCGCTATCGTACACAAACATGACAATTTATATTACGTTAAAAAAGTTTATCTCTCAGAAAAATCAACTTACATGAATCACGTTTAAGCGCACTTAGCGACATCAATTGTTAGAAAATCAACTTACATGAATCACATTTAAGCGCACCTAGGGACATCTATTGTAAAAAAATGCATTTTCTTCGCAATAAAGCTGCCACCTGGACGTCCTAGATAGAGACTTATTATTATAATACGATAAAATAAAATATTACTATGTTTTGTCCAATATATTGAAAGTCAACAACCTTACCAATTTTATTGTTTTAGTCAGATCCCCGATCAGGCCACGTGTCATGACACGATTAGCCCACGTATCCTGATGCGAGTTTAACATTTTTTACCCATACAAAAAAAAGTGTACAACTCCGCTTAAGAAGTTTTCCCTTCAAAAAGTTTGGATGGAAAACGTTGGTGAACACCGTCGCTTGATTTTCATAGTCAAAAGTATTTCGAGTTTAAGTGTGAAATAAATAAATTCATGTACAATCATCAATCTTGTAATTGAACATAATAAAATTAGTTTTTGGCTCATTGTCCCCGCTCAATCAGCGCCGTTTGGGAAGTTCACTCCCACCTTAAAGATGATCACAGTAAAATAACACTACCTTTTGGTGGCTTAATGTTTTTGTCGATGAATTGAATGAAAGATTCCAGGGCTCCTCCTCCAGGGTGGGGGTACGCAACAGTGAAAGATACTCTAGTATAGAAAGCGTCAACAGGTTAAGATGCCGATAGCACCCCTCGGTGCGGTGGGCAATAGGCCGCGCACTTAACTCCTAGCGCGGGCAGTCTTGCGCACGTCTGTGGGATTTCCCGAAATAGCCCGGGTGATCCGTGCCGTGGAGCCCCGGCTAGGCCGGGAGGCTGTTGGGTGCGGAGACGCGGTTGAAGTCCCTCAACGGGGATCTCGCGGTGTCGCACTTAAATAGCGTAGAGGGTATTCGCAGTATGTTTTAGCGGATAGTATGCCGTAAGCGCTCGTAAGCCGCGCGGACTGCTTAACGGCTTATCAGTTTCGCACCCGTGAGACTTGCGAGAGACCAGGTGTGAGTTCCGTTCGTTGGTGTGCCTCTTAAGGGCGCCAACGTTTGTAAATAGAGGTTTTACCTGCCTAATAATAAAATAAAAAGGTTAAGATGCCGTCACCAAGCAACCATAAGCTTCTTTGACATCGTTTATTCATAAAAAATAAAACCATAACTCAAAGTCTTAGCTATACCTTTTCTGTAAAATCGAAAACTATCCTAACTACCTTGTTTTTAGCAAGGTTTCGTATGTTGCTCCGTGATCGTGGTGCTTGCAACAGTGTCGAAATATCAGAAGCTCGCTAAAAACAAGGGGTATGGTAGCAATCCCGTAAATTACTATAACGTTAGTGTTCACGAAAGTTTAAACAATACTATCTCAAAACCGTAATTTATCTATATAAATCACATTTAACACCACCAATAAAAGAAATCCAACAAAGAGTCGCCGTGAACCCCCCACCACAACGCAATACTCGTATGTCGTCTGAACGCCATAAATAAACGGCAGATTTCTTCGCCATTCCACTCCATTACCAATTTTATTCCTCCTCAAAAATCATATCGCAGAGTGCCTGTACTCAAGGCGAGACGTGAGGATTGCGCCAAATGAAATCACCCGGCATAAGCCGAGAGCCGACCGCGCAAAGCCGTCCCAACCCCGAGCACTTAAGGCGCCATGGAATGGCACCAATTATGGTTGTTAAGTGCGACGCCTAGGGTGGCACGCCTGTTTAAGTTCTTTCGCTTGGGCGGAATCAATGCAAGTGCAATGCTTTAACGTGAATTGTCAATCGAATGTTTTTTGACCCACATATTATGCAAATATTAAATATTTTTTATTTTGCATAATTACATGGATGCACCCTTTTTACTTTATCAAAACTTTTGATAGGAACAGCTTTAATTTTCCTTTCATTGCATACATCATCTGTATTACATAAATTACAAATCTTAAGTTACGTAGGAAACAACTTAATATCCAAGTACCTGATAATTTCATTCACTTACTGATACTTGTAAATAACTAAATAAATACAAAATCTCAAAACCATTAACCATATTACAAAGTTTAGGACCAATTCATAGACAAATACACCTACGGGGTTAATATAGGTACTTAACTATTTTTTTACCATTAAATTTTAGAATATTCCAGATGGGCTTACATCCACTATGCGTTGCGTCAAAAAGGTTTTTGTAATGCCGAAGTTTAAAAAAGAGCATTTCGCGAGACCGATCTATACGAAATAAAAGATATGAAGACTATCCAATAAAGCTTATAACCCGAGCACTCAGACAGCCGTAACTCGCCACGCTAAGTGCAGCCCATAAGTCAAGATCCAAGTACGATTCGATGACATTTCTGTTCTCAGCTCATACGTGACCCATTAGTTTAAAACTCAAACTATGGTTAATACATCATCTCGAATTTAATGTGGGTAAGTACGTTTATGGAAATAGATCAGACATGTTTAAAACGAAATATAATAAGCTCTTTTGAATATTGATAAAGTTATAGTTCAATGACAGGGTTTAAAATATTTAACATGATCAATGTCGTGTGTATATTTTTTTTTCACACGAGGCGCAAATAATTTCCCCACCCCACCTGGCCTGAACAAAATCCCCGACCTCGCAGAGCCCTAAAAACTACCTATCAGCAGAAACACAACACCATCAAAAGGTAGTGTGGTTACTGTGGTTTTCTGTATGGTATATATGTATGAGGAGCTCGATGGCGCAAGTGGTTAGCGCGTTCGGCTACGATCGTTGAAGTTAAGCAACTTTCGCAGTGGTCGGTCATTGGATGGGTGACCAAAAATTTACTATCTCGAGCTCCTCCGTGTTTCGGAAGGCACGTTAAGCCGTTGGTACCGGCTGCATCTGCAGTCGTTATCACCCGCCAATCCGCACTGGGCCCGCGTGGTGGGTGGCCCAATCTCTCTATTCCATCCATAGGGAAGGCCTGTGCCCCAGCAGTGGGGACATTAATAGGCTGATGATGATGATGATGATATATGTATATGTATGTAGAAACTAATATAATTATGCAAAAAATATCCTTGATACTGGCAATATAGCAAAACCATGTCATGCCATAATAAAAAATACAAATTAAATTATCCAATAATAAAACTTTATAGCAATGCTATGAAAAGCTACGTCGTAGCAACTATGCTACGAATATTACTTTTAAATTTTTTATCTGTTGATGACGTTCTGGAATATGAATCTAAGTTTTTTCTTAATAATATTTAACTGTTACGAGGTTGTTTTATTATAGAAAATTATTACTGTTTAGTTTCATTTTATTATACACTAGCAATCCGTCCTGTCTTTGCACGGGGGAAATTTATTTAAAAGCGTTTATCTACAAACATGCTTTTAAGCCTCTATGAAAGATTATATATATATATATATAGATTTTAAGCTATGAAAGATTTTGAAATAATTAGCTTATTGCCAACATTAAAACATCCACCCTATATAGTTATAACCATAATATCATATAAAAACGAGGGATATAATGTTGTACTAAACATATTAACAGTCCTTCGCTTTTTACATACGTTCCACGCAAAGGGTTATCTCATCAGGCAGACACAATATTTACTGCTGGATGCATGATATATCTGGTGATATTTGTATGAATTTTGAGTTCAGAAGCAACGTACAGGTTTTATAATCTTTATAGAGGATTCATATCATGGATATAAATAAAGTCTTGTATGTTGTTTCAAATTAGGTATTGAAACACTCATGTAATACTATTAGAAACCCAAATTCGTATCCTCCTCCTCCTCACCACCAGTATCATGCAGTACGGCATCAGAAACACACCTGGACAGAGTATTACCCTTGAAGAGGGACACGAGGCGATCCCAGTTGGTGATGGCGCCCTTGCGATGATACTGGTCCAGCGTCAGCTCCATTTTGCACAGCGGGATATCACCCACCACCAGCACGATGTAGTACGGCACCGAAAACGCAACTAGACAGAGATTTACCTTTGAAAAGGATCACGAGGCGGCCCCAGGTGATGGCGCCCTTACAGTGGTAGTGGCCAAGCGCCAGCTCCATGTAGAGTAGTAGGATGCCACGCACTACCAGCACGATGCAGTTTGGCACCAGAAACGCACCTAGACAGAGTGTTACCTTTGAAAAGGCGGCCCCAGCAGGTGATGGCGCCCTTGCGGTGGTACTGGCCCAGCACCAGCTCTATGTAGAATAGTCGGATGCCACCCACTACCAGCACGATGCAGTTCGGCACCAGAAACGCACCTAGACAGAGTTGTTACCTTTGAAAAGGGGCACGAGGCGGCCCCAACAGGTGATGGCGCCCTTGCGGTGGTACTGGCCCATCGCCAGCTCCATGTAGAACAGTGGGATGCCACCTACTACCAGCACGATGCAGTTCGGCACCAGAAACGCACCTAGACAGAGTGTTACCTTTGAAAAGGGGCACGAGGCGGCCCCAACAGGTGATGGCGCCCTTGCGGTGGTACTGGCCCAGCGCCAGCTCCATGTAGAACAGTGGGATGCCGCCCACCACCAGCATGATGCAGTATGGCACCAAGAACGCACCTGGTGGACAAATGCTCATTAAATATTTTGAAAGTAAGAAAATGATTTATTTCGTATCTTAAGGGTCGACGTGGTGGGTTATGTCTGATGATGATATACTATGTAATATGTCCACCATCGGCTGTCAACGATACCTTGTTCCTATTGGGAAACCCTTTACAAGTCACTGTTGAACATTTGATTATACATGTGCATTTTTTTTAAATAAGATCATTAACGACCTCCGTGGCCGAGTGGTTTGTACGCCAGGTTTCATGGCGTCGCCGACTCGAGAGGTCCCGGGTTCGAATCCCGGTGGGGGTAGATGTTTGTGTGATGAATACGAGCATTTATACTCCAGTCATGGATGTTTAATATATGTTATTCTACTTATATAAATATACTTATATATGAACAGTTATATGTATTATATCCGTTACCCTAGTATCCCATAATACATGCCTTATAGTGCTTACTTTGGGGCTAGGCTAATTGGTGTGAGTGTTGGAAATATATATTTATTATTTATTTTTATTGATGAAATTTTAATACTTTAATTCATGAATAAAGCAGCAAAAGTACTGATAATAAAATAATAGTATCGTATAGATCTCTTACATATTCCGAGTAATTAGTAGTTTTAATATACAACATAATTTATTTTTAGTGATCTCTATGCTGCAGGTATATATACAAAATATTAATAGTAGTGTATTGAACGCTGGTACAAACAGTGCAATCCATGAAGATGCGCCCCACCAATTTTTGGTTGAAGGATAATTAGTGATAAAAACATGTAATATATAAAATTCTCGTGTCGCGGTGTTTGTGGTTAAACTCCTCCGAAACGGCTCGACCGATTTTCGTGAAATTTTATATGCATATTCAGTAAGTCTGAGAATCGGATGTAATCTATTTTTCATCCCCCTAAATGTTAAGGGTAATCCAGCCCTAAATTTTTTTTTAAATTTTAGATAATTTTTTTTATGATAAATCATATAAAAATACATACATCCCTAAATTTTCAACTTTATACCACCAACCCCTATTTTTTATGGCGGTACGAAGTTCGCTGGGTCAGCTAGTAATTATATAATTATCATATTATTTTATTATTATTTTCATAGATAATTAGTGTGTACCGATAACACTCAAATATTGGCGGAAGCTGCCACACATCTATCTTTATATATATAATTCTTCTGTGAGTGTGTATGTCACTGAACTTCTCTTAAACGACTGGACCGATTTTGATGAAATTTTTTGTGTGTGTTCAAGGGGATCTGAGAATGGTTTAGATTCACAATTTTGTCCGCTGGACAACCCCTATTTTTTTAGGGCGGTACGAAGTTCGCTGGGTCAGCTAGTATATATATAAAACTCAAAAGTGACTGACTGACTGACATAGTGATCTATCAACGCACAGCCTAAACCACTGGACGGATCGGGCTGAAATTTGGCATGAATGGCAGGTAGATGTTATGACGTAGGCATCCGCAAAGAAAGAATTTTGATCAGTTCTACCCCGAAGCGAAGCGAGGGCGGGCCACTAATTTACTATAAACGATTAGGAGGAATTCGTGGATTGTAATATCTGTAATACATTCGAAACCAACGACTTGACGTCCTTTTTAAAGCACAAGTTTGACTTTATGAATTCAGTGAGAGCTTCTTAGTTTTTACCGTCAAATTATGACCTCATTTTAACTACCGTCAAAATCAAAATCAATCAAAATCTAAAATCATTTATTCAGTCTAGGCTGTTACAAGCAGTCGAGAAGCTACGCCTTTGGTTCACCAAACTACGACGGGAGACCTTGTACTGAGAAAAACCGGCAAGAAACTCAGCAAGGGCTGAATTTCTCTCTCTGTATCTGAAGTCACCTTTCATTACATAATCTATACGTATAATAAAATGGTAGGAAAGTCAGAACTGTACATTGAATATTTTTTTTAAAAGAATACTTGGGGTATGATCTACTATCGATACCGAAGCCAAAAATGTTTGTCTGTATGTATGTCCGGTATAAACTCAAAAAGTACTGCATGGTTTTACTTCAAATTTGGCAGGAATATTATAAAGAAGTCGGGTCAACATATAGGCTTTCACCTACGGGGAACGAGCAGTGAACCTTTATTTCTAACTAACTCCACGCGTACGAAGTCGTGGGCGGCCGCCAGTATACAATAAGTTTTATAGTGAGCTTTAAATTTTTAGTACAATTGCATATAGGAAGCGGCTTCAGATACCACCACATTGTTGTTATGAAATGAACCATTACATTACAAGAAACACAATGTAATATAATGATTATTTTAATACTCATCAACTTTATAATAGTCCTTATTCGTAAGAGTATTCTTGATCTGAGATTTAAATTTGGTTAGAGGAAGCTCAATCATGATGTGTGTTAAAGTTATGGGTTTGACTTATTTTCGCAAATGCGCCATAGTTTTTTCTCACGTATATTATATTTTCATAATGTATTGAGATGCCATAGTTAAAATATTAATTTCTTTAAATTTTTCTCTAAGAGAATCTCTTGCCTTCAAGTTGTATATGGTGCGAACCTCTCTCTTTTGCAGTATGAAAATACTATCGATATTAGCAGCAGTCAAATGGTGCAACCCATTTTTTACCTAGCCGGTACTTTAACTGAACAGTTAAAGTTAAATCAAGTTGGTGTTATACACACTAAATCAACCATCTGCTTCACCGCTTTTATCATATGACAGATTTTGATGCGCTCAAGATTCCATAGTACTTATTGTCTTATTTTGTCTCAACGCAAACCTAATTTATAGTATACAACAAGATGCACTAAATGAATATGAATATGAATTTTATACTTTTAATTTTTATATCATTACTAGCTGTCCCAGCAAAATTCGTACCGCCATAAAAAATAGGTGTTGGTGGCAGAAGGGTGAAAATTTAGGGTTGCATGTATTTTTGTATGATGTATCATAAAAAAATAAATATAAAAAAAGTTGGTCCAAAAAAAATATTTAAGGGTGTACCATCCTTAACATTTTAGGGGATGAAAAATAGATGTCCGATTCTCAGAAATTTTATGAGCATTTTCTGGTAATGCTCATAAAATTTCACGATAATCGGCCGAGCTGTTTCGGAGTAGTTTAATTACACACACCGTGATACGAGAATTTTATATATTAGAAGATTAATTACCTATGGCCTTCCGTTTAAAATGTCTTATTGTCTCAGAAAATTGAACAAGAGTAATCGGCTTACGGTAAAAAAATCCCAGTCAATCAGCCTCGAAGGGAGTTGTAGCAATTTGCGATTGCCTCTCGCGATCTGTGCAATAATTCCATATTGCCGAGAGGGCGCGCGCCGGCAAATTGTTACCTAATTGGCCTTTTAGCAGCGGCCATTTACTTACGACTTGCTCTTAAGAAACTCGGCTCTGTGCTTAGTTTACGATGTTCTGTATAACAGTTGTTCGGAATCTTAAAAGGATTGTTAGCGACAAGTTTCGGTAGAGTACAGATTGGGTTTTGGAGTGGAGTTATGCTTCTTTACAAAAAGTGTTTAAGATTCAAAGTATTATGAATAAATAAATATTTTCAACATCACACCAATTAGCCTAGCCCCAAATTAATAAGCATGTGTTATGGGATACTAGGGTAACGGGTAGAATATAAAGAGGGTGTCACAAAAATACAAATAAAGTTTTAAGGGCGATGAAGTACATCAAGAAGGAGTCTTCTCTAATTTTCTTATAGTATTTACATGAAGTTTTAACTTTTTATACAAACAGTGATTTTTAATGATCCTCGAACAAAGACGTGTCTTAAAATGATCGATATTTTATTAATCTTTAAAAATAATTGTTTTTATAAAAACTTAAAACTTCATCCAAATATTTTAAGAAAATTAGAGAAGACTCCTTATATGATGTACTTCAACGCCCTTCAAGTTTTATTTGTATTTTTGTAACACCTTGTATACTGATACAAATATAAGTATATTTTTATAGTAATACATCTTAAACATATAGACTGGAGTACCAATGCTCATATTCATCACACAAACATCTGCCCCCAGCGGGATTCGAACCCGGGACCTCTCGAGTAGGCGACACCTTGAAACTCGGCGAACAAACCATTCGGTCACGGAGGTCGTCATCTATTATCTATTAAGTTTATATCTTGGGTGTTATTTAATTACCTACATTAAAAGTGCTATTTTATTGGTATAGGAATAGTTTATTCGAATACTTGACTGTCGTAAAGATTTTTAAACCTACTATACAATATAAATTTAGAATGTGTGAATCCTAAAAGCATCATTACCTAATTCTTGTGTAATGACAACCTCATATTATACTTATCTTTTCTTCATAAATATCATAAATCTGCCGGCCGTGCATATGTGTACCAAATTTCATCCAAATCCATTCAGTAATTAATAATCCATCCATTGAGTAACAAACATACAAACTTTCACATTTATAATATAAGAATAGGAAGTGGGATTTAATAACCTCATTTTAGTCAGCACATAAGATAATTGTTTTAATTGTATTGGTTATGTACACGATATTTTTTTTATCGGGACGGTTTTTGTATTTTTTTTGTACTGATATCTCAATGTTTGATATTTTTTCATTAATCAAATGGGCGCTTCTTTAGTTCGAGATAAACAAAGGTGTTTTGTAAAAGAGAAATCATATTAGTTTTACTGTTTATCAGATGGTACATATCTTAAAGTAAGGCATTGGCCTTAACAGAGAAAGATTTAGTATGTATTACACTATATTCGTATTAAACTTTTTAAGTTGAATCGGTCACAATGATTTCGAGAAACTCGTTATAAAGTAGCGGACACAAGCAAATTCCGAGTTTAGTACCCTGCCTAATAAACGAACAAGACCAATTTGTTAAATGAGCAGTTTCCGTTGATGACAGTAATTCCCTTCTTACTGCACAAGAATTTCTGATGATACGTTTCGAAATTGTTAAAAGTATACTTCCGACTGGGGCAAGCTTTATTGTCC